ATCTTAAATGATAATCAGGAACTAAGCCATGCACATGAGCTGCAAAATTATCAGCTTGCAAGAGACAGGGAAAGGAGGGAAATAAGACCTCTCTCCAGATATCAATATGCAGATTATGTATCTGTTGAAACAAATTTTGAACCCTCTGGTCTTGAACCCACCACCTATGAGAAAGCAATATCTTGTAAAGAGTCATCAAAATGGATAGAAGCCATGGAAGATAAAATAAACTCTCTGTATAAAAACAAACTTGGGAATTGGTTAAGAAACCTGAAGAATGTAAACTGGTTGACTTTAAGTGGGTATATAAGATTAAAGAGGGGAATTCAAATATATCTAATAAAAGATATAAGATGAGGCTTGTAGCTAAAGGCTTTACAAGAAGAGAATGGACAGACTATACTGAAATCTTCTCACCTGTAGTTAAATACACCTCTATTAGAATTCTCCTTGCCATTGTTACTCAGTTTGATATGGAACTGGAGCAACTTGATGTAAAGACTGCTTTCCTATATGGCTCTTTATATGAAACCATGTATATGACACAGCCAAAAGGTTTTGAGGTAAAAAATAAAGGTAATTTAGCGTGTGTATTAAATAAATCACTATATGGCTTAAAACAGGCTCCTAAGCAATGGTATAAGAAATTTGCTTCTTTTATACAAGGCCTAGAGTTCAAGAAATCAGACTTTGATCCTTGTTTTTATTTTAAGAGGAATAGTGATTCTGAATTCTTTTACCTCCTTTTATATGTTGATGATATGTTGTTGGCTGGTCATAATTCTGTTACTCTTAATTCCATAAAAGAAAAATTGAAATTGGAATTTGAAATGAAGGATCTGGGTTGTGCAAGAAAGATTTTAGGCATGGAAATTGTAAGAGACAAAATAAATGGAAAGTTATTTTTAACTCAGAAATCTTATGTTGAAAAAGTGGTTAAAAGATTTTTCCTTGAGAATGCCAAGCCTAACAGTTTACCTTTGTCTACCTGCATGAAATTATCTATTGAGCAATCACCTAAGATAGAAGAACAATTTAAAAGAATGATAAATGTGCCTTATGCTAATGCTGTTGGATCAGTTCTGTATGTAATGGTATGTAATAGACCTGATATATCATATGCTATAAGTGTATTAAGTAGATTCATGAGTAATCCAGGTGAATTTCATTAGAGATACAATTGATAAAGGTGATATTAAACTGGTAAAAATACCCACTAAGGTAAATCCTGCTGATGCTGGGACAAAGGTAAAACCACTTTGTAAGATTTTAGATTGTTTGAGATTATTAAATCTCGAAACTTGCTGACAAATTTTTTTGACTGGTGACTAGAGCAAATGAAATAAAAGACTAAGTTAGAATCCACATAGATGAAGGCACAAAATACAGCAAAGGTGGAGATTGTAAGTTGTTGGGTTGCTGCATTTTGTGATGTGAGCCCGTTTTCTCAAGACTATTGAATTGAGCCCAAATAAATGGTCCAATATCATGACCCGCTAAGAAGAATCCGAAAGGTTGATTTTATAACACTAAAAACACGTGTTTTGGGCATAAGGAGCGCTTTTTCTTGGATTAGTGACAAGTGGCAAATCGGTGGACGTTGGATCTTGACCTTTCATATAAATAGGAAGCCTCAGATTTTTTAGGGTTAATAGTCGGTATTCTGAGGGCTTTCTTGGCTGCGTACCTTTCATCTTCTCCGTTCTAATCTTGTGATTTCTCAGAAAATACTTAGTGTGATTTTTGGGAGAATTGGTAGAGAAACTCTTGTGTGAGTTCTGCTGTGGGAAGATTGTGTTGCATTTGTAATTTAGGAACTTAGTGTTCTATAACTTGATCTTTGCCTATTTGGCCGATTTTAGTGGATTCGAGCTTAATCCTTTATGGATGCTCAACAAGGCACTAAGCGTTAGAAATGATCGCTGAACCTCCGGGGCCTTTGGCCGAAAAATCTCTCGTGTTCTTATTTTCTATTTTTGTTTTGAGAAAATCTTGATATTTTTGTGTTGAGTATTTTTGGCATAAATTCGATCCTGGAACTACAGAAGTAACAAATGCAATAACACATAAGAAAATAAGAAACACTTGTCAAAAGAATTCTCATATCTGAGGTATGTTTGCCTAGTTCTCGTAGCTTATTTTTGATCGTACAATCTTTTTATTATATTGATGAATTCAATGTTCGAGAAATTGGACTATTTTAAAACATGAATAATTGCTCATAGAAATGTTTGAGGTTTACGAATGTATAAGCAAAAGAATTCTTTGTACACAACGTTTTTAGTACATGTATTGTGTAAATTATTTGAATCCGATGGCTTCGGTAGGACTTTTATAGACATACTGGTTTTTGCTCGTGATAATGCTACATAGAGTTGACATGACAAAAACTAGGTTTTTGAAGACATAGGCCAATGAAATCTAGTGTTTGACCTTGTGCTATGTTTATAGTCATTGAGAAACATAGCCTAATTGGAAATTGAGTTCTTTCAAATGGAATTGACTTATAATCACTTTTAAGAGATATGAAAGGGATCATCTGTAAGAAAACATATTTTCTTGAATACTCACTGATTGAAATTTCAATTAAGATTACATTCTTCTTAAACTTTTGACAAGTAAGACGTGTCCCATTATCACAATAATATAAGTGGATAGTTTACCTTAAGGTTTAATTAGTGTGGTGGTATACCATTTAAAGTTAAACTATTCAACAAGTCTTCTTGTAGGCTCTGTTCTAATTAGTTGATTGCTTCATCAAAACTATAATAGTGACAATTTGTCTAGGAATCTATTCCAGTAAAGTTTTATTAATATGATCAACACACTCATTTTTGGCTTAAGAATGACTCCATTAACCATCGTATGTAATTATCAGTATATGCTTCTGTTGACGTCAAGATTAGCAAGGCTAATCTTAAGCCAACTTTAAGAAAAAAAGGGCGATTTATTGTTGAAAAAAGACCACAAAATATGTTTAGAGAGTGTAATTATGCCTTGAGTTGTTGTATGAAATCACTTGCCCTTTACAAGAGTCATATTCAACTATTTATACATAGTTTCAGCCGACATTACGTCAAATTAGCAACAGTACCGAGCTCGAAACTCAAGTCACTGGATTCTCTTGTGATTGGTCGATGAGGTCGGTGACCATGTGTCAATATTTTTCCCAGGTAATGATGACCTGCAAGGGGCTAGAGATTGAGAACCTAGGATTGATTGTTCCGGACGGTGATGATGTCACATGTGGCAAGTGTATTTGATTGATAGGGTGATGTGACAGGGGGTAATCATGATCTTTTTCAGATATAACGACGGGATTGTTCGATCTGGGAGTAAGGACCGAACTCACATTTAACTGAGGCGGGGTTAGCGAACTGCTTTTATTAGATCGAAGTTCGGATGTCAACAGTTACCCCCCAGGTCAGTTCTTCCGTAAGGGGGGCTGACCTTCTAACTTCACGGGTTCTTTTTCCAAGAAAAGTAATTATTATTATGTCAAGTGTCATGCTTGGTAGGGATGAGCTGTACGATATTTTTAGATAACTTCTTTGATAAGTTTCCTGATGCTGTGTCGTTTTGCCCAGGAGATATTTCAACCATAGATCTTCCCTCCTTTATTTTAAACTAACGGCCCAGATTAAAACCCTTTATCTTCCTTCTTTTTAAATATTCAATGGCTTTTCATTTTGTCTTTTTATTGTACACTGTTTTCTCTCAAAGCACCAAGGAATTTCGAGTACGCCCTGTCTGTCGTTTGAGTAAGGTCGTCCTTCGAGTTCTTAGGTATTCCTTTGCTTCTTCACTTAGTCCATTTGTTTTGTTCTTTTCCATGAGTTCGGACGAGTCGAGGGTTCAATCCTGGGGAAATCAACAAGAAGAATCCGTCCCTTTTACTTATAGTTCGTCCTCAGGGTGTAGAGAGATTTTTACTCCTTATTTTGGCCTGTTCTGGGGAGATGGGGCGAGATAGGGTAGACGAGGAGGTGGGTTCCCCTATGGGTAGTGAAAGGAACGATTAGTTGGAGTGGGGGGCTGGTTCTTACAGGCCGGTGGTTACAGATGATATGTTAGCTAGTTGGAGGACAAAATATGATATTCCGAGTTCGGTATTTATGATAATCCCTAAACCATCTGACCGCGCTGACGCTTCCCCTATGGGATGTGTCGCATTGAATTCTGCCATCCTTCAAGTCGGGCTGAGATTACATATTCCTTGGGTTATCCATAAGTTATTGTCTTCTTGTAGCATAGCTCCGACCCAGTTATGCCCAAATGGATGGCGGACTCTGATCACCACGCCTATTCTGTGGGATAGATTAGGTAACCCTGAGCTTACGGTTGAGCAGTTCAACTCTTTATTTACTTTTAAGGAGGATGAGAAGAACTCGTGTTGGTGGTACAAAAGTGTTAGGCCAGGGACGGAAGGTTCTCTGGTTTTAGACATCTCCTCCTCAAATAAGAAATGGAAGGAAGAGTGGTTCTATGTGTCGGGGGAGTGGCAGTTTTATTTTGCCGAGGTGAATAGGGACGACATGGTCCCACCGCTTTATCACTCGTTATGTAAGTAACTGTCTCTTGGTGTTTTGACCTAGATTGTATTCTGAGCAGCTCTAATTGATATCATTTTACCGTGCAGATCACAAGAGGCCAACAATGAAGAAAGATACTCAGAGGAAGCAGAAGCAATTCGTGCATTACCGAAGAAACAGAGATCTTGCAAATTTTTTCTCTCAAATTCCAACCTTTTCCAGGCCGGCTTGATTCAAACCAGGGTGCTGGGGCCTTCTACCGTCGCAGCATCTACATCGATTCTGACCAGTTCAGGTCGATTTTGATTGGTTTATTGAGGTGATATTTGTTAGAGTTGAGTACTGACATACTTTTTTGTTTACAGCTCACAATTCAGAAATGTTCGGATACAAGGCGGCGGAAGCTGCGGTCGCAGCAAAGGCCAAGAAGAGGGACGTCCCAGAACGGGATAAAGTCATTCTGAGGAAGTGGAGGACGAGGTCCCCTTGAAGATGAACCATACTGGTACGCCGATCGCACCAAGGGTCCCTGAAGCTGATTCTGCGTTGAGCTCTTCTCCTTTGGTGGCCATCACTTTGCCGTCTCCAACTTATACCTCGCTACCTCCTGCGGCACCTGCTTTTGCTTCCACTAGCTCAGCAAGGGTGCAGGAGAGGTTCCCGGACTTACAGAGGTCATCATTGGACAGTCTGCTAGGCCACCGTCCAGAGATCTTCCTGGATTACTTGCGAGCTTCATCTCCATCGAGGGAGGTTACCGCTGCACTTTCCCCACCTCTACATGATTCTGCAAACCTGCTTACCAAGAGTTGGGGTGAAAGGGAGCAAGGCTTCCTTAATGAGATGCCTATAGGCGAGGCCCTAGTGACTACTCAACTCCACAGCCATCGCTCTATCCTGTACATGACAACCGTAGCTGATAAGGTATTTTCCTTACTTCATTTTATTTGATGATTTACATATTTGCGAGGTGCTTAACTTATGGATTTTAATGTAGGTAAGATTTGAGCTCGACAAACTGATGGAGGCCAAGGATCAGGCCTTGAATTTGTATAACAACATGGAGGCTGAGAGAGCTCAGTTTGCAATAAAAGAAAAAGAATCCGAGGAGAAGCTTAACATGATGGGGTTTAACCTGAACTCGAGGCTAGAGATGGAGGAGAAGTGGATGGGGGAGATTAGAGCTCTGAGGGAGGAGGCCGGTCGTAGGGTTGAGTCTGAGAAGAAGATGATTGAGGAAGAGAGAGTTCGGACTGAGGAGGCTGTGGTGAAGGTATGGGAGGTAAATGAGAGAGCAAGAGAGGTGATGCGTAGAGCTGAGGAGGCTGAATCTAGGGCTGCGAGGGTAATGAAGACTTGGAGGTCATCCTCCAAGCTTGACGCTCTTGCCCAGAATGCTTACGTTGTGGCTCTGGAGGAAGCAGTAAAACACATTCGCATAGAGAGGCCAGGGTTCGGCGTGGGTTTCCTTGAGGAGACTATGGAAGAGCATAAAGAAGAGCTTCAGCATTTATCGGAAGCGGCAGGGGTTCGAATTTCTTCTGATGAAGATGATGTCACTCTTCGCGAAGGCCTCCCTCCCCCTAGTTCTTCTTAGGATATTTTTTGGATTTATGATGAATTTGTTAAATTTTATGGATATCTTGTTTGTGCTCGAAGATGAGCCATACTCTATTTTGATTGCTTATGAAAATGCATGTTTTCTTTTTTTGTGGGGTCTAAGTTTTATTGCTTATTTCATCACTTCGTAAATTTTTAATGATGGAATGTCTTCTAGTCAACGTATGTGACAGAACTCGTAAGTCATGCGAACCTAGATCGACCTACACATGTTGTTGGGCTTTGTAGAATTTCCAATTAGGAATTTTCGCTAAGGGTTGTAGCATTTACGACCTTAGATCGGCTTGCGTATGTAGCAGGGCTTTGTGAGATTCCTTAGAAGGAATGTCCACTAAGGGTAACATGTACATCCTTAGATCGGCTTGCGTAAGTAGCAGGGCTTTGTAAGATTCCTTAGGAGGAATGTTCACTAAGGGTCGCAGCACCTACGACCTTAGATCGGCCTACATATGGAGCAGGGCTTTGTAAGATTCCTTAGGAGGAATGTCCACTAAGGGTAACACATACAACCTTAGATCGGCCTACGTACGTAGCAGGGCTTTGTAAGATTCTTTAGGAGAAATGTCCACTAAGGGTCGCAGCACTTACGCCCTTAGATCGGCCTGCGTATGGAGCAGGGCTTTATAAGATTCCTTAGGAGAAATGTCCACTAAGGGTAACACGTACAACCTTAGATCGACCTACATATATAGCAGGGTTCTGTAAGATTCCTTAGGAGGAATGTCCACTAAGGGTCACAACACTTACGCCCTTAGATCGGTCTGCATATGGAGCAGGGCTTTGTAAGATTCCTTAGGAGGAATGTCCACTAAGGGTAAAACGTACAGCCTTAGATCGGCTTGCGTATTGTAGCAGGGTTTTGTAAGATTCCTTAGGAGGAATGTCCACTAAGGGTTGTAGCACTTACGCCCTTAGATCGGCCTGCGTATGTAGCAGGGTTTTGTAAGATTCCTTAGGAGGAATGTCCACTAAGGGTCGCACCACTAAAGGTAACACGTATAGCCTTAGATCGACCTGCGTCTGTAGTAGAGTTTTGTAAGATTCCTTAGGAGGAATGTCCACTAAGGGTAACACGTACAGCCTTAGATCAGCCTGTGTATGTAGCAAGGCTTTATAAGATTTCTTAGGAGAAATGTCCACTAAGGGTTGCAGCACTTACGCCTTTAGATCGGCCTGCGTATAGAGCGGGGCTTTGTAAAATTCCTTAGGAGGAATGTCCACTAAGGGTCACAGCACTTACGCCCTTAGATCAGCCTACGTATGGAGTAGGGCTTTGTAATATTCCTTTTCTTCTTGTAACGTGTCAAAGAAGTGTTTGCAATGGTCCGTAGACTTGGAGATGAACCGGCTGAGGACGGCAATCCTTCCGGTTAAACTTTGTACCTCTCTAGGTTTAGTTGGAGGCCTCATTTGGATGATAGCTTGTATTTTTTCAGGATTTACCTCGATTTCTCGGTTGTTCACAAAGTAACCTAGGAATCGTCCAGAGCTGACCCCGAAAGCATATTTCCTTGGGTTCAACTTCATTCCATACTTCCTCAGTATATCAAACATCTCGATCAGGTGCTGACAGTGATCCTTGGCCTTGATGCTTTTGACCAGCGTATCGTCAACATACACTTCCATTATTTTTCCAATCTGTTGGGAAAACAAGGAATTCACTAGTCGTTGGTAGGCCGCACAGCATTTTTGAGACCAAATGGCATTACTTTGTAGCAGTAAAGACCTCGGTCAGTTACAAACGAGGTATGTTCTTGATTTGGGCCGTACATCGGTATTTGGTTATATCCGAAATACGCGTCATGAAGCTGAGTAGTTCGTGTCTGGCAGTGGCATCCACCATTTGATCTATTCTTGGCAAAGGAAAACTGTCTTTTGGGCATGCTTTGTTGAGGTCGGTGAAGTCTATGCATACCCTCCAATCTCCGTTGTCATCATTTTTGCTGTTTTGGCCGAACTGAGTGATCCGCCTGTAATTTGTGGCATGTTATGTTGGGGTCTATTCCTCTTATGTCCCCGTGATTCCAGGCGAAGACATCAATGTTTTGTTTAAGGAAGGCCACAATTTTGTTTCGGGTAGATGGTTGCAGCTCACGCCCGACTTTGAGCTCCTTTGTTGGGTCCTTGGCACAGACTTGAACTCCTTCTAGTTTTTCGACGGGTTCTACTCCTTTGATCCTGGTCTGCGGGTCTAGTGGAATGAGTTCGGATTCCCATACCTTTGCCTTATGCACTCCCAGGGAGTTACGTTGATAGCTGGTACAGGTTCCCTTATGGCGGTCTTTTGAGGGTCCTGCCGTCGTGGAGAACTTGGTGGTGTATTCGTTTCATGAGGGTGAGTTTGAAATGGATTTCTAGAACTTGAGCTATGACTCATAGCTCTCGGATTTTGTGGAGAGAATGAGACCATTTTTTACAATTAGGGCCCTCCTTCTAGCGCCAAACTGTTGACGTCAAAATTAGCAAGGCTAATCTTAAACCAACTTTAAGAAAAAAAGGGCGATTTATTGTTGAAAAAAGACCACAAAATATATTTAGAAAGTGAGTTATGCCTTGAGTTGTTGTATGAAATCATTTGCCTTTTATAAGAGTCCTATTCAACTATTTATACATAGTTTCAGCCGACATTACATCAAATCAATCAAATCAGCAACAGTACCGAGCTCGAAACTCGGGTCGTCGGATTCTCTTGTGATTGGTTGATGAGACCGGTAGCCATGTGTCAATGTTTTCCGCAAGTAATGATGACCTGCAAGGGGTTGGAGGTTGAGGACTTAGGATTGGTTGTTTCGGGCGGTGATGATGTCACCTGTGGCAAGTGTATTTGATTGATAGTGGCAAGTGTATTTGATTGATAGGGTGATGTGACAGGGGGTAATCATGATATTTTTCAGATATAACGGCGGGATTGTCCGACCTGGAAGTAAGGACCGAACTCACATTTAACTGAAGTGGGGTTAGCAAACTGTTTTTATTAGATTGGAATTCGGATGTCAACAGCTTCTATATTCGGAAAAAAAATGATGTATTAAATTCTTTAAAGACATAATATCATCCTCAAATGGAAAAATTATATTGTTTGGAAGCTTAATGTACTTACAATCATGTTCTTGCTCTATTTCATTTCCAATTTTAAGCAAATAATCACAAAATACTGGATCTAATTTGGCTCTTATATTCTGAACTAATGGTACATGTAAATACAAAGGTCATGAATCAGAGAAAAGTCAACTAGCCTTCTTAATGTCCTCTTTTTTTTTTTTTTTTTTTCTCGTATGGGAAAAATTCCGATATGTAATGTACAATTATATTTTTTACATGCAATGCATTTAACACAAAATTAAAAAGGGTTATAAAAATGGGTTGTCTCCCATTAGTTTTCTAATTTGGCTCTTATATTCTGAACTAATGGTACATGTAAAAACAAGGGTCATAAATCAGAAAAAAGTAAACTAGCTTTTTAAATGCCCTTTTTTTTTTTTTTTTTTCTCTCTCTCTCGATACCACTAGTAAATTTTTTCGAAAATCTCCTCTAAGAACTATAACTTTCCCACCGAAATGTAAATTACAATCGATGTCTAAGTATTTTATCTACAACTTCAATGGTATAACGATTTATCATAGGTGCTTCATCCCAAATTATTAACCTAGACATTTTAAACAAAGTTCCCAATGTTGATTGCTTGCTAATAGGACCGATAACTTCACCAATTGTTTCCAAAAGAATTTTAAATCTTGAATGAGTTGTTCGATCTTCTGGTAATAAAAATGCAGATACTATAGGAGATGCAGTTATCAAAACAATTAAATTTTGTGATCTTAGACCAATTAAGAGTGTTTTGTATAAAAAAGTTTTGCCTGCTTCATCTGGATCATCAATGAAGAAAGTGCCTCCTGATTCCAATTTTACTTTGTCCATAGTTGTACCATATGTAAACTGTTGTTCATTATTTAAAATTGCTCTACAAGCATAGCTCTCTTGAATGTCCAAATTCATTGTCTCTTCTACAACCATTCTTCTCAACCTTTCATTATCATTTATATTTGCATTGAACGATACTAATCCACAGTCATTTATGTTTTTACCTAATGATTCTAAAATAAAACTGATATCCTGTAGAGCCTTTAGCTTAGCAGCCTCCACATACGTATTTTCATGCATGTAAACATTGAATTTATCCCATAGGAACTTTGGATCATTAGGGTTGCAAAGCGTGAGAAGTGTAGCAAAAAGACCTCTCAAAGAAATATGCTTTAAGTAAGCAATAGTTTCAGATGGACATTTTTCACAATGGTTATCTCCACTCAACAAACCATGTAGAAGTGCTGTTTCTCGATATGTTTTAATAGTTACACCATTCGAAGTTCGTAAAATGTTAAAAGATTTTGTCCCTCGAATATGATTAAGTGGCCCACGTAGGAAATGTTGCTGTAACAACCCATTTTATAACGATTTGTTTCATTCTGGGAGCCCAAATTTTTTGGTTTGTATTCCGAACAAAATGCGTTGGGAAATCTCGATATAAAAACATCCTAGCAAATTCATTTACTCCATTCATTCTAAAGAATTCAATCAACATTGTTCTTCTTGTATTTTCTTTCTCAACAACAATAGATAAATCACCATATTCATCGTACGTTACTTGTTATTGATTTTCAGTATGGAGCTATATAGAGTAGATAGATGGATGCATATCTGCCAAATTCAAAGAGAAAATTCTCTATACAGTTTTAGGTGGAAATATCATCTAGCGGATTAGCAAGCAAAAAATTCATCAATTTCTTTGTTTCCCTCATCTATCCTAATAGAGAAATTAATACGATCATGTCATTTGTATACATATTTATACAAATATTTTATAGTTTTGATAGAACATCATAGTTCAATATTAATGTGGTTATCAAATTGTGCACTTAGATAAGAATTGTATGGAACAACCCATCGGTTGTTTAACATTTGGCCTTTAACTTTAATAGAAATACTATTATTATGAC